TTTCAGTCCTCAGGCTGACACTCTATCCACTGAGCCAAACCGGCCAGGGCAACACATTACCTCTTTATCATATAGGATAGGGGTCCAGTGCACGAATTTGTGCACCTTGAATGGAACTGTGGGCCATGTGGCTGCAGTGGGCACAGGGGTGGGTCTCGACCCATCTTCTGCGCCACCACCCGGCCCCTCCTGCCAAGACCACAGGTCCCCTGTCTGCTTGCAGCCCCACTCCCACACGCTGATGTTGCTGGGCCTGCTCACACCCACTGATGGCACAGAGCGATCAGAGCCAGTGCTAGCAGCGGGTGTGAGTGGGGCCAGCACCATCAGCGGGTGCGAGTGGTGGCTCCAGCTGTGGGTGCAAGCAAGGCTGGTGCTGGCAGCAGGTCCAAGTGCTGGATGGGACCTCAGTGGGCGGGAGAAAAGAATTTTCAGTAACTACCAGATGCTTGCCCTGATGACTGTGACTGACGCCCCACCTTGGTCTGGCGCCACTGCTCACTTGCTCCACCATCCCACCATGGTCAATACCCACCATGTTCCACACTCTGCCACCTGCTGCCAATGACTGCCATGTTCCACGCACGCCCCCTGGTGGTCAGCACACATCATAGTGACTGGTTCTTCAGTTGTTCGGCTAGTCTCTCTATTTGCATATTAGCCTTTTATTTATGGGACACAAACATGTCATTTCCTTTTAAGATGTAAGACTTTCTGTGACTAGGAAAGAAGAAGGAGGAAGAGGAAGAGGAGAAGGAGGAGGAAGAGTAAGAAGAAGGAGGAGGATTAGGAGAATCACCATGGCTAATAGGCAGGATGCATTTTATTACCATTGACAACAACCTATTTATTTGCACTTCAATTTCCAACCATGAGCAATAAACACTAAACAAGGATAGGTCATGCTATGCTGACTCTATGATGGTGCCCAATAACCACCTGGTTATACACCTTCCCCAGTCATCATATCAAACACTCTATAGGGCTGCTGGGAAGGGATTTCACAGATGGAAGTAGGACTCATATCAGTTGCCCCTTGCACTACCTCGTGGGACTGTCCTAATCAGATGAGTACTGACTGGGGTTCCTCCTGAGCAAAGAGATCCCAAGTGTGAGAGGAGTTCAACGTGAGCCATCTTCTCCACTGGGGGCTTTGAAAACAAAGGGCCACATGGTAAAGACTGCTGGTGCCACCAGGTGTTGTTAGCAGCTCTCCCCAGGTACCTCACAGTTGTCATGGAAACAGGAACCTCAAACCCACAACTGAAGAAACTGAATTCTGCTGACAATCCTATCTAATAAAAGAGTAATATGCAAATTGACCATCACTCCAACACACAAATGGCCGCCCCCATGTGGACACAAGATGGCTGGCAGGGGAAGATCAGGCCAGCAGGGGAGGGCAGTTGGGGGGGGCACCAGGACAGCAAGGGAGGGCAGTTGGGGGCAATCGGGCTGGCAGGGGAGTGGTTAGGAGGTGATCAGGCAGGAAAGCAGGTGAGCGGTGGGGAGCCAGCAGTCCTGAATTGTGAGAGGGATGTCTGACTGCCTATTTAGGCCCTATCCCACACTGGGGAGTCGGATATCCCATGAGAGGTCCCATATTGGAGAGGGTGCAGGCTGGGCTGAGGGACATGCCCCCCCCCCCTTGCACAAATTTCGTGCACCGGGCCTCTAGTTTCTATATATAAAAGGGTAATATGCTAATTGGACTAGACATCCTTCCTGTTGAAGCCATGGCCAGAGGGAAGCCAGCCCAAGTCCCGGGTGCCTGACAGAAGCCAGGGCCGGCAGCGGGTGAAGGTAGGCCTACTCTTGTATTAATTTTTGTGCATTGGGCCTCTAGTCTCTATATAAACTTAGACAAGGGTCCTGAGCTCAGATGAGGACACAGCTTTGTGACCCTGACCAGAGACCCCCATCCACACCAAGCCTGCATTTCCCATTAAGATAATGTCAGCAAGCAAATGAGGGTTATTCTGAGCCACTAAGTTGTGGTGATATTTTTTTACCGTAATAGAAAACTAATACACTGGCTCAGCTGTGCCACAGATAAGCACACAGCATTTATTTCCACTGCAATAGATTGATGAGCTGACACATACAGTAGGTACATGTAATAAAATCTTTCCTAACTTTTTGGGTTTTTTTATTTAATGATTTTATGTAATGCAATTAAAATTTTAATACGACTGGTATTGCGCTAGCCGGTTTGGCTCAGTGGGTAGAGTGTCAACCTGTGGACTGAAGAGCCCTGGGTTCGATTCCCGTAAAGGGCCAGTACCTCGGTAGTAGGCTCCTACCCCACTCGGGCCCTGGTCAGGGCGCTTGTAGGACACAACTAATTGATGTGTTTCTCTCACATTGATATTTCTCTCTTCCACTCTTTCTAAAAATCAATGGGAAAATATCCTCAGATGAGGATAAAAAATATATACAATTGTCATTCATTCATTCAACAACAATTAACTTACTGTCTACTATGTACCAGAAGCAGCTCCATGTGATGGGAGTCAACTTTGACCCAAAGCCCCTGTGCTCCCATGTCTTACAGGCTAGAGGCTTCCCAGAGTGAGATGCAGCCACTGGAGCATTTTCAGAGATGAAACTGCACAACCTGACTCACATAGCAGGATTGCTGACCCTGTGGGGAGAATAGACCTGGAGTGGCAGGTGAGGGGGTGACACTATTGCCACAGTCAGGAGTGGGAGGGTGATAGAGACAAAGGGGTGAAGAGGCCTGAGGGGTGAGAGACAGAGAAGGGCTGGACAAGCAGGGGTGAGGAAAAGAGTGGAGGTAGAGATTCTAAAGCAGTGGAACTCTCAGATTTAAATGTGGTTTATAGAGCTATAGTAACTATATCTACAGAGCTAGCAGGGTGTTCTTTGCATTTGGTACTTAATACATTCTGTGGGGCTGCCTAAAAATTAATTGCCACCTTATGTTAATCGGTTAAAAAATAATGTGTCCCCACTATGTGGAATGATATTTATCTTCCAAGTACATGGTCACATTTCTACCTGGAGTTTAAGCTATTTGAAGGCAAAGGCTATGTGTCATAGACCCTTTTTTTCTCCATTTTGAGCACTCTATCCTGCAGTTAAAGGGCTGGCTCAATAGAAGTGTTTTGGCTGTGGTGGTGGTGGTGGTGGTGATGGTGATGGTACTAAGAAGCAAAAAGACAATTTGTTCCCTCAATATCAACAAAAGGAAGTGTTTGGAGAAACATGTAATACCAGGGGCCCGGTGCACGAATTCATGCACCTTGAAAGGAACTGTGGGCCGCAAGGCTGTGGTGGGCAGCGGAGGATGGGCTGAGACAGGGGCGCATCTCTGCCCATCTTCCATTGCCCTGATAGCCCTTCAGGAGCAGGGGGAGGTGTAGAAGCCTTCAGGGGTGATCAGGGTCGGAACCACCAGCGGCTAGGAGAGGCAGCTGCCAGCCCCCATCTCCCATCAGGAGCAGGGGGAGGTGGAGAAGTGCTGGGGGCGATTGGGGCCAGTGACTGCCGCTTAAACCTGCTGATGGCACTGAGCAATCTGGGCTAGCACCAGGCACCAGGAGTGGGTGCGAGAGCTAGCTTTGTCGTCAACAGCAGGTGCAAGTGCCGGTCAGGACCTCGATGTGCAGGAGCAAAGAATTTTCAGTAACCACCAGAGGCTCGCCTTGATGACTGTGACTGGCACCTTGCCTTGATCTGGTGTCCCCGCTCACCCGCTCCACCATCACGCTATGGCTGACCCCCTGACATGTTCCGTGCACATCCCCTGGTGGTCAGCGCATGTCATCGTGACCAGTTGTTCGGTTGTTCGGTTGGTCTGGTTGTTCTGCTGTTCTATCTATTTGCATATTAGCCTTTTATTATACAGAATGATTAAAACAACTTTAAGAAAAGCACTACAAATTAGTAACCTATAATTCAGAATACAGGCTCTGGACCCAGACTACCTACATTTGAAAGCCATTCCAACATCTATTTATTAGCTCTGTGACTTTAAGCACATTACTCAATCTCTCTGTGCCTCAGTTTCCTTGTCTGTAAAATGGGAATAATAATAGTAAAACCCATGATTGTGAAAAACAATAATGTGTCCTGATAAAATGTCCTCACTGCTTCCATGTGAGTAATTCATAAGGATGGCAGGGCAGGAGCGCTGGTGAAGGAAGGGCACTGTGACCCACTGAGCACCTGCGACTGTGAGGATGCACAGGCTCCTGCTGAAATGCACAGTCACACATGCTCCCTGGGCTCCTGTAGGGAGGGTGTGCGGGACTCACAGGGACAAGCTCAGGGCTGGGGAATGCAGGTCACTTCACAATGTAACAGTCCCCAGCCACACACTTCCTGTGTGGGAAGGAGAATTGAGGAGCTTTGTAGCTCTGGCTGCAGGGCTGTTTAGACACTTTGCATATGAAGCCTCTGAAATCACTCATTTTACAGATTAGCTTCCTGATGTCCAGGCTTCCCAAGACTATGGTCTCCCCTGCCCTTCACTGGTCTTTACAGGCCCAACTCCTCCAGGATTACAGAGGAGACCCTGTCCTCTGCCTCCTCTCACAGGGAGCTCACTCTCTGGCATCAAGGTCCCAGGGTGAGTTTTCCTCTAGAAGAGTCCAGGGCAGAGGTGAGGGTGGGAGGCAGAGTGCATTCCAGGGAGAGGGGTTCCAGGAGGAGAAGGGAAGGAAAGGGCTGGTCCCAGCCTGGGGAGTCTCCCTGGTTCTCACACAGCCCCTGGGCAGGACTGAGGGAGAGGGTGTGACAGAGCTCTCCGTGCAGGGGGAGGGGTCAGGGCAATGTCCCAGGTCCCAGGCCTGGTCTCAGGGGCCCAGCCCCAGGGCGGAGACTGAAGCGGGGAAACTCAGTGTTGGGGAGTCCCCACCTCCCCGCAGTTTCACTTCTCCTCTTACAACCTGTGTGGGGCCCTCCGTCCTGGATACTCGTGACGCGTCTCCAGTTCTCACTCCCATTGGGTGGCAGGTGCTACAGAAGCCAATCAGCGTCACCTTTGTCCCCAGTTAGAAGTCTCTGCGGACTCACCTGAACTCAGACTCCCCAGACATGGAGGATGCTGCTCACGGGGTCCCCAACCCTCCTCCTGCTGCTCTGGGGGGCCCTGACCCTGACCCAGACCTGGGCGGGTGAGTGCGGGGTCGGGAGGGAATGGCCTCTGGGGAGGAGGAGCGAGGGCACCCTGCGGGGGCGCAGGACCCCGGGAAAGGGCGTCTCCACCCCCCAAACCCCCGCCGACACCCCAGACCCCACCCGGTCCTGACCCCTCTCTTCTCCGTCCCGCTGCCCCTGTTCCGTCTCCCGGGCCCCTTCCCCTCTCCTGTCCCTCCGACCCCCGACCCCGAACCCGCGCCGGGAGGAGGGTGGCGGGTGTCAGCCCCTCCGCTCCGGCCCCCAGGCTCCCACTCCCTGAGATATTTCTCCACCGCCGTGTCCCGGCCCGGCCGCGGGGAGCCCCGGTACCTGGAGGTCGGCTACGTGGACGACACGCAGCTCGAGCGGTTCGACAGCGACTCCGAGAGTCAGAGGGCGGAGCCGCGGGCGCCTTGGGTCGAGCTGGTGGATCCGGGCTCTTGGCACGGGAGCAGGCGGGACATCTGGAGAGACATATATACTTCCCGAAGGAACCTGCGCTACCTGCGCGACTACTACAACCAGAGCCGGGACGGTAAGCCACGGGGCCCGGGGCGGTCACCACCACCATCCCCACGGACGGGCCGTGGTCGCCCCGAGTGTCCGAGTGCGAGTTTCACCCCAACCCGCCCCCCACCTCCCCCCATACACACACCCGGGAGGAGCCCGCGGGGACTTTGACCCGGTTTCACTTTCAGTTTCTCTTTAATCCCCGCGGCCGGTTCAGGGTCTCACACGATCCAGGGGATGTGGGGCTGTGACATGGGACCGGACGGCCGCCTCCTCCGCGGGTATCACCAGTCCGCCTACGATGGCACCGACTACATCGCCCTGAACGAGGACCTGCGCTCCTGGACCGCAGCCGACACAGCTGCGCAGATCACCCGGCGCAAGTGGGAGGCAGAAGGTGTGGCTGAGCGAGTCAGGAACCAAATGGAGGACCTTTGTATAGAGTGGCTGCGCAGACACCTGGAGAAAGGGAAGGAGGTGCTGCAGCGCGCAGGTACCAGGGCCCTGGGGCCTCCCTCCTCTCCCCTGGGACTGGGGCTCAACAAGGAGACAGGACACAGGGTCAGTGTCAACCCCCCTCCTGTGGGCCAGGAGACTGAGTCCGCCTGGCTTTTCAGATCCAGTGACGCCCTCTCTTCTCTCAGGGACACCTAGGGGTGCAGTCTCTCAAGGACAATTAGAGGGGAGACCAAGCCTGAAGGAACTGAGCAGCGGTTCCCATTGACCCTGCAGTGGCTCTGGGACCCATGGGGGACTTGCTCTCTCAGGCCCTGCTCCCTGCCCCTCACCCAGTGTATCTGAGGTCTGACCCCGACTTTTCTGAGTCCTTTGGCCTCCACCCAGGACAGGACCAGAAATCCCATTCTCCCCCTGAGACCTGCCTCCTGCCCTGGGCTGTGTCACTCTGACTAGAACTTTCTAAAGAGAAGAGGTCATCCCCTGGTGCTCTGTCCAGGCTGGTGGTGCCTGTGTGCTCCCTCGCCCACCCCAGGTGCCCTGTCCACGCTCAGGTGGTCACGTGAGGGCTGCTGGAGGGTCCCCTGACAGTGCCAAGTCCCTGAATTTCCTCCCGCTTCTCCTCAGACCCTCCAAAGACACACGTGACCCACCACCCCATCTCTGACCGTGAGGTCACCCTGAGGTGCTGGGCCCTGGGCTTCTACCCTGCGGACATCAGCCTGAGCTGGCAGCGTGATGGGGAGGAGCAGACCCAGGACATGGAGCTGGTGGAGACCAGGCCTGCGGGGGATGGGACCTTCCAGAAGTGGGTGGCCCTGGTGGTGCCCCCTGGAGAGGAGCAGAGATACACATGCCATGTGCAGCATGAGGGGCTGCCCGAGCCCCTTACCCTGAGATGGGGTGAGGAGGGGCGTGGGCACAGAGCCTCTTCTTAGGGAAGCAGAGGCCTGTGGAGGACTTCAGTGTGGTCGGGGCTGAGGCCTGAGGGTAAGGGTCCTCACCTCCCCTTCCCTTCCCAGAGCCGCCTCCTTGGGTCACCATCCCCACTGTGGGCCTGGTTGTGGGCCTGGTCATCCTTGGAGCTGTGGTCACTGGAGCTGTGATGTGGAGGAGGAAGCACTCAGGTAGGGAAGGGGTGGGGCCTGAGTTTCTTGTCTCACTGGGGGTTGCAAGCCCAGGTAGAAGTGTGTTCTGTTTCATTAATGCCAAGTACCATCCCCACACGTGTGGTTGCCCAGTGTGGGGCCCTATTTGCTGACACTCACTCTTTAGTAAGACACGTGTGGAAATGAGGCACAGATTCATCACCTGATGATTCTAGAGATGGGGCCTGGTTCCCAGCACTCCCAGGTCAGGGAGGAAGGTCCCTGCTGAGGACAGACCTCCGTGAGGGTGGTTGGTCCAGTCCCCACACGTGTAGTTTCCTCAGGTTTCCTGATCCTGCCCTGGGTCTGTAGTCACAGTTCTGGAAACTTTTCTGGGCTCCAGGACTAGGAACTCCTTTAGGACCTCATGGCCCTGCCTCCTCACTGTCTTCTCACGGGATGTTTTCTTCCCACAGGTGGACAAGGAGGGAGCTATGCCCAGGCTGCCAGTGAGTATGGAGGGTGACCCCTGACATCCTGTGATAGTACAGACTGGATCCCATGGGGGACCTCACCCCCACAGTTTCTCCCTTAGTCTCTTCTCCTGGGGGCTCTGACCTCATCCTGTTTTATTCTACCTCAGGCAGCGATGGTGCCCAGGGCTGTGATGTATCTCTCACGGCTTCTAATGGTGAGACTCTGATGATAGCAGGGGTTGGGGCAAAAGGGAGAGGATTTGGGGGTGAGGATTCTTTGGGACATAGTGAGCCTGTGGTGGGCTGTTGAGAAGGTCACTACTTACAGCCACTGAACTGAGTTTGTTCATGATCATTTTCTTCCACAGGGTGAGGCACGTGCCTTGTGGGGAACTGAGTGATGGGAGATTTGTTCACGCTCCCACTTTGTGATTCAGGAAACTCTGATTTCTTTCTGCAAACGGCATCTGAATGTGTGTGTTCCTATCAGCGTAATGTGAGGAGGTGGGAGGCTGTCCCACCCCTGCCCACCACACCCCCTCCCCAGCCTTTCCTGTCCAGGTGAGGTGGGGCTGGGTCCTCCCCATTCCTGTTTTTACTTCCTGGTGCGCTCAGCTGCAGCTTCTTACTACCTGATTGAAATAAGAGTCTGGATATACACTCTTCTTCACTTCTTGCCATGAAGGGGTGATGAGTTCCTTAAAGGAGAACAGCCCAGCTGGTGTGCCTCAGTGGTTGAGTCTCCACCCAGGAACCAGGAAGTCATGGCTGGATTTCCTTTCAGAGCATATGCCCAGATTTCAGCTCAGTTCCCACCAGGGTCATACAAGTGACAGCCAATGGATGATTCTCTCTCATCATTGATGTTTCAATCTGCCTCTCCCTCCTCTTTCCTCTCTCAGAAAATCAATAAAAACATATTTTTAAAAAGAATTGCCCTGGGTGGTTTGGCTCAGTGGATGGAGCGTTGGCCTGCGGACTAAAGGGTCGCAGGTTCAATTCTGGCTAAGGGCATGTGCCTGGGTTGCGGGCTTGATCCCCGGTAGGGGACATGCAGGAGGCAGCCTATCAATGATTCTCTCTCATCATTGATGTTTCTATCTATCTCGCTCCCTTCCTCTCTAAAATCAATAAAAGTATATATATATATATTTTAAAGAGGAATTAAAGGAGAAGATCCTAAAATTTGAGTGGAAATAAAGGGAAGCACTGAGAATTTGTGTTTGCTGTGCTGAGGCTGTTGCAGGGGAGAGCCCCTCTGTGGGAAGAGCAGGTGCCCTGATGTCAATGTGAGAGCTCGCTGTGCTGTAGCTGCCACAGGACAGTTGTGGTCTGAGGCCACATTAATGAAGACGTGTCTCTAGCATCGGGAGGTGCTCTACATGGACCATTCATGAACCAATATTAGTTGTGTGCCAGATGTGTGACAGTGTTTCCGCATGTGGGGACCATTGAAGGAAAATCAGAAAAGCTGCTTTCCTGTGGGACATACGTTGTGTGAGAAGAAACAGTGAATGAAAAAGCACAGTAAACATGGAAGGCATCTGTGTGACAAGGAGTAACTGTTCTGGGCAATGACATCGTGGGGAGGCAAGCCCACTCAAGGCTGTGGTGGACAAGGGAATGGGTGTTTTTGGTTTTTGGTATATATATATATATATATATATATATATATATATATATATATATATATATATACTAGAGGCCCGGTGCACAAAAATTTGTGCACTCGGCAGGGAGGGGGAGTCCCTCAGCCCAGCCTGTGCCCTCTTACAGTCTGGGACCCCTTGGGAGATAACGGCCTGCTGGCTTAGGCCTGCTCCCGGGTGGCAGAGGGCAGGTCCAATCCCTAGGGGCAGCCCCTGGTTGGGCTCAGAGCAGGGCCGATTGGGGAGTTGGGGCGCCGCCCCCTGTCATGCACAGAGCAGGGTGGATCGGGAGGTTGCGATGCCACCCTCAGTCACGCTCAGGGTGGGGCCGGTTGGGGGGTTGGGGCACCGCCCCCTGTCACACTCAAGGCAGGGTCAATGGGGAGGTTGCGGCACCACCCCCTGTCATGCACAGAGCAGGGCCAATCAGGGGGTTGGGGCACTGTCCCCTGTCACAGAGCAGGGCCCATCAGGAGGGTTGGGGCTCCGTACCCTGTCACGCACAGAGCAGGGCCGATCAGGGGGTTGAGGAGCTCCCCCCTGTCACTCACAAAGTAGGGCCGATAGGGGAGTTGGGCACCGCCTCCTGTCACACACAGAGCAGGGCAGATCAGGGGGTTGGGGCGCCACACCCTGTCACACTCAGGGCCACAGGGCTATCGGGGTTGGGGAGCTCCCCCCTATCAGGCACAGAGCAGGGCTGATCAGGGGGTTGGGGCACCTTCCCCTGTCACGAACAGAGCAGGGAGGATATGGAGGTTGTGGCCCCGCCCCCTGTCACACACAGAGCCACAGGGCGATCAGGGGGTTTGCGTGCTGCCCCCTGTCATGCTGATCCCGGTGCCGGGAGGCCTCGCGGCTCCACTGATCCCAGTGCTGGGAGGCATATTACCCTTTTACTATATAGGATAGAGGCCTGGTGCATGAGTGGGGGCCAGCTGGTTTGCCCTGAAGGGTGTCCTGGATCAGGGTGGGGATCTTGCTTGGGTGCCTGGCCAGCCTGGGTGAGGGGATGATGGCTGTTTGCAGCTGGTCACACCCCCTTCAGGGTGGGGGTTTGCACTGGGGCGCCTGGCCAGTCTGGGTGAGAGGCTGAGGGCTGTTTTCAGGCTGGTGGGTGACTGAAGCTCCCAACCGCTCCTTTTTTTCTTTTCATTTTTTTTATTCTGGGCCAGCTTTAGCTCTGAGGCTTGGCTCCAACTCTTAGGCCTCGGCTGCTGAAAGCAGGTATCTGGTTTGTTTGGGTTCTATAATCGAAACACTGTTTCAACTCCAGCTCTGAGATCCTGGCTCTCTGAAAGCAGGTTTCTGGGATTTTGTTTAGCTTCTATATTTGTAACAATGTTTCAAACTGCAAGCTCAGAGGCTGGCAGGGGTAGGCAGGGATCATTGGAGTCCTCCGTCACTGAAGCAAGCAAGCCTCATGTTCGCTTCAAGCTGCCTGGCTGCCGGCTGCCATCTTGGCTGGCAGTTAATTTGCATATCGCCCCGATTAGCCAATGGGTAGGGTAGCAGTGTGACACCAATTTGCATGTTTCTCTTTTATTAGTGTAGAGATATACATATCCTATCTAATAAACGAGAAACATGCAAATTGACCATACCCCCAAACACTTCCCATGGGCTAATCAGCAGGATATGCAAATTAACTGCCAACCAAGATGGCGGCCGGCAGCCAGGCAGCTGAAGCGAACATGAGGCTTGCTTGCTCCAGTGATGGAGGAAGCCAAGGTTCCCCGCCTGCTGCCGCCCAGCTCTGATCTCCGGATGCAACAATGTTGCAATTATAGAAGCTAAACAAGCTCCAGAAACCTGCTTTCAGCTGGCAGCAGGCTCAGAGCTTAGAGTGGCAGTGATGGCAACAGAGTTTCAATTATCGAAGCTAAACAAAGCCCAGATATCTGCTTTCAGCAGCCGAGGCCTCAAGCTGGAGCCGGCCTCAGACCTAAAGCCGGCTCTCAGCTCCAGTGACAGCCATAGAAAGTAAATAAATCCCAGAATAAAAAAGGAAAAAAGAAAAAAAAGGAGAGGCTAGGGGCTTCAGTTACCTGCCAGCCTGAAAAGGGCCCTCAGCCCCTCATCCAGACTGGCAAGGCACCCCAGTGGGGACCCCCACCCTAAAGGGGGTGGGGGAAGCCTAAAAACAGCCATCAGCTCGTCATCCAGGCTGGCCAGGAACCCAAGCGGGACCCCCACCCTGATCCGGGACACTCTTCAGGGCAAACCAGCTGGCCCCCACCCATGCACCAGGCCTCTATCCTATACTACAGGCAGGGTGGGACAGTGCGAGCTGCCATCTGGGCCCCATGTGCAGCCCTGGGCAGCGGGGCATAAGCCCCGCTCCCAGCCGGGACCCATATGTGCCACCTGAGCCCCCAACCAGGACCCCCGTGCCACCTAAGCCCCGCACTGCTAAGCCCCGCCCCCAGCCGGGACCCTATGACTATTGGAGAGCAGGAAAGTGCTGCTGGGCCCTGGGTAGCTGTGGAGATCTGGCCATTGGTAAGTAGAAAAGTGCGGCCTGTAGGCAGCCCCCAGCTGTGCCTGATCAGGGAGCAGGAAAGCCCGGCCTGCAGGCAGCCCCAAGCTGCGCCTGATCCAGGAGCAGGAAAGCCCCCAGCTGGGCCTGCTCCCCGGTTGCCATGGGGATCCAGGAGCAGGAGAGCAAGCCTGGCCTGCACAGGAGCTCCAAGCTAGGCCTGCTCCCCGGTTGCCATGGAGACCTGGTAGCGGGAAAGCCTGGCCTGTGGGCAGCCCCCAGCTGGGCCTGCTCCCCCGTCCCCAAGGCAATCCTGGAGCAGGAAAGCCCGGCTTGCAAGCAGCACCCCCATCCTGGCCATAGCTCAAGGGAGAGTACAACATGCAGTGGAGTGGAGGCCAGGAGCCTGAGAGATCAACACAGAGAGGCTCCTGCTCCAAGCCTCCAATGTGGCTGGGGGCAGGCCCCCAGCAGACACACACACACACACACACACACACACACACACACAGTGCCTACTCTGAGCCTCCAATGTGGCTGGGGGAAGACCCCCAGTGGGGACACACACACACACACACACACACACACACACATATGCACACGCACACGCGCGCACACACACACACACACACACACGGGACGCCTGCTCCGAGCCTCTGTTGCCAGACTGTGGCCATCAGTAGGACGTCCACTGAGGGCTCCCGGACTGTGAGAGGGGCAGGCTGAGCTGAGGGAACCCCCACCCCCAGTGCACAAATTTCATGCACCGGGCCTCTAGTATATATATAATTAATTTCAGAGAGAAAGATAGAGGGAGAAAGAGATAGAAACATCAATGATGGGAGAGAATCATTGATCAGTTGCCTCCTGGATGTCCCCTGCTGGGGAACAAGCCTGCACCCCAGGTATGTGCCCTTGACCAGAATCTAACCTATGACTCTTCAGTCCACAGGACGATGCTCTATCCACTGAGCTAAACCACCTAGGGCATGTCTGTTGATTTGGGTGGCCAGTCAGTGGTGGCCTCACTGGGAATGTGACCTTGAGGAAAGCACTTAAGGACATGATGAATTATCCCTGAGGATGAACTTTAAAGCCTTGAGAACGAACGAGGTCACCAAAGGACTGATGGCTACAGGAGACCAAGGAAGAAGGACTGAACCCAGGACCCAGTGCTGAGCCGACTGCACTGTTCTGTCTCCGGGTCTAGAAGGCACAGGCACCATGGAGCCCCCAGGGTTCCTGTGCGCAGGAACCACCTGGACCTCTTGTTGGCTCAGGATGTCAGGAGCAGAATGTGAGAGTCTGGCTCTATCCCAAGGTGCCGATGCTGCTGATCTTCAGATCCCACATTGAGCAGCAAGAACCCAGACCAGGATCCCCATGTCTGTGTGTCAGCCTCGCCTGCAGGGTGTTACACAGGTGGTTCCTGTCTGTGCCTAATTCTCTGGGTATGAGAGAGGCTGGGGGTTTTGTAAGAAGCTCACAACCAATGCTGGGGCTCAGCCAGCCTGTGAACCACAGACATCAGTGCCAGAGCTCAGGGTGGGGAGGGGTTTTACATCCCCATTTAAAGGTTTTCATTTTTGGAGAAACCAAGATGGCGGCATAGGTAAACACTGGAGATTGCTGCCTTCTTCTTCTTCCTCTTCTTAAAGGATACCTTTCAGCATTTCATATAATACTGGTTTGGTGGTGATGAACTCCTTTAGCTTTTCCTTATCTGTGAAGCTCTTTATCTGACCTTCAATTCTGAATGATAGCTTTGCTGGATAAAGTAATCTTGGTTGTAGGTTCTTGGCATT